GATGTTTTGCGAATTTCATTTTTGTTCGCAACGTCGGATCTCAGGGTAGGCCCGCCAAAGAACGTTCTAGCCACTGTTTGGTGGCTTGCACGAGATGCTAGATGCTCTCAGAGCATTTCTGGCCGAGACCGGCTTGTTTTACCGCATCGGTTTTCTGTTTTAAGAGCAGTGGTGTATTATTTGAATTCTCTTTTGTTTTGCGAACACGGCGAGGTAGGCCTAGAGGAGGACGGTCGGTCCTTGCACAACTGAGGGCAGGAGACTCCAGGGGCGCCTTAAGACCGGTACGATCGAAATGGGTACGGAAAGAACGTGTACGAAGACCTACAGCTTTTCCTTTGGGGTTGGCTGGGGGTCTGAGGTGGTCCAGTATTGGTTCTGGCCAGCAGACCAGGGCGGAAGAGATTCGCGATCATGGGTTCGGGAAGGTTTTGGCTTTTTTCGGCCTCCCAGGGCAGTTTTCGGGCCCCAGGACTGTCGCAAACGGATCTGGTGTGAGCAACTGCACCAGATGCACCCTGGGAGTGGTCCGCGGACCGATTGTGTGCGGATCTGGCCTCATCCCCTCCTCCTTACCGACTTTCTGGGGCCCCAACCAGTTCAGATCCCTTAGCCGCCTCCAAACGAAGACCAACAGCTTCTCCTGTTCATTTTGAACAGGGCTCGCTGTCGGTGTCGCCACGGGCGTTGTCCATTTGAGATAGAAAGCCGCCTGCTCAACAGCGGCCGCTTTCGGTCTTAGACAACCCTTTCTGTTGGACATCGTACCCATTTTCTCTGTACCCATTCCGGGAGTCCAAATAAACGGGTGGGCAGGTATATTCTAGGACTCCCAGATGTTGTCCGAGTAGATGGGGTCGGAGGATCGCGCCGCATCGCCGATGTACCAGCGATGCGGTTCGATGTGGAGCACGTTTTCTCCAAGCCGGCGTCGCTGATGCATCGCCGACGTCGCCGATGCATCGCCGATGCATCGCCGATGCATCGCCGATGCATCGCCGACGCATCGCCGATACATCGGCGATTCGGTGCAATCCGCCGACCCTATCTAGGAGGCCCCTAGAGTACGCCGACCCAATCTACGTCTATCTGCTCGGACCCGATCTACTCGGACCCCATCTAGCAGGCCACATAGCCATATATATCGCCGACCCTATCTACTCGGACCCCATCTAGGAGGCCACTGGGGCACGCCGAAGAGGGAGGGGGAGGAGGTTTGCGCTGGCTCTCCGTTTTTTTTCTCGCCTCGGCGTACTTCCCTGCAGCTGCGGGTGCCCGGATCGTCCCGAGCGGCCGCCGGAGGCCCGAGTTGCGGCCCGAAAGCCACCAAACGTCGAGGTGGGTCGAGGGCTGCGGGTGCGTAGGAGGAGGAGGTGGAGGAGGAGTAGGAGGCGGAGGAGGAGGAGGAGGTGTCTTGGCTGGGGCCATGACATCGCCCAGGCTTCAGGGCCCCTCTTTCTCCTCTCAGCGCGCTCCCCGCCGTCCCTCCTCGTCGCGCACACGCCCCCTCCTTTGACGAACGGTCACCACACACAACACACACACACAAACACAAACACAAACACAACAACAAGCACAACACAACACACAATCACGACAACAACCATAACCAGAACCACAAACACAAACATGAACACAAACATGAACACAAACACAAACACAAACACAAACACAACCACAGCAACATCCACAACCACAACCATAACCACACAACCACACAAGCACAAACACAACCGCAACACCAAACACACAAACACACAAGCACAAGCATAAACACAAACACACACAAACACACACAAACACAAACACAAACACAAGCGCAATCACAAGCACAAGCACAAACACAAACACAAGAACACACAAACACAACCACAACAACAGCCACAACCACAAGCACAAACACGAACACAAACACAGACACAAACACAGACACACGCACACACACAACCACAACAGCCACAAACACAAACACGAACGCATGCACACACAAGCGCACACAAACACAACCGGACACTAACACAAACACAAGCACAAACACAATCACAAACACAAGCACAAACACACACAGGCACACACACCCATACCCGTAGGGAGGTCGGAGGGAGGAAGGCTGGCTACGGGTATGGGTGCGGGTTGTGGGGTTGCCTGGGGAGGCTCCCGTTCGAGTGGGGACCCCCATTCGACAGCACGCACCCATAGCCCCGTCTGTCCCCCCTGTGGTTGGTATAGGTGTTTGTTCTGCAGCCCCCTTTTTCGGCGCACCAGAGGTGAGGGAGTCGTGCTTGTGTTTTTTGTGTTGTCTGTCTGGCCAGAGGTCGAGAGCCTCGAGCCCAAACCTGCCGCTCACCCTCGAAAGGGCGGATGGGGGAGGAAAGGGAGGAGCGAGGAGTTGGAGCGAGGAGCGATGTGGGGAGGTGCGATGGGGGAGGTGCGATGATGATGGTGATGGTGATGGTGATGGCGATGATGATGATGATGATGATGATGATGATGATGATGATGATGATGATGGTGGTGGTGGTGGTGGTGGTGGTGGTGGTGGTGGTGGTGGTGGTGATGATGATGATGATGATGATGATGATGATGTTGCTGCTGATGATGATGATGAGGACGATGACGATGACGATGATGATGATGATGATTATGATGATGTTGATGATGATGGTGATAGTGATGGTGGTGATGATGCTGCTGATGATGATGACACTAATACTGATGATGATTATGATGAGGATGCTGACGAGAAGTATGATGAAGATGCTGATGTTGATGAGGAGGAGGAAGATGCTGATGCTGATGCTGATACTGATGCTGCTGCTGCTGATGATGATGCTGATGATGATGATGACGTGGAGGAGGAGGAGGAGGAGGAGGAGGAGGAGGAGGAGGAAAAGGAGGAGGTCCAGTGTGAACCCAAGACGCATCAACGACTTTGTCATGACTTCCTCCAAGTCTCTTCATAGGTCCCTACCAGAACTTGTTCATTTGGCTTACACCGTTCCGCCGACCACCACAAGGAGTGAGTGTTTGAGACGATCGTAGTAGTTATATCTTGGGTCAGGAGCTCCCTGGATGAATCTGAGGGTCTCTTGGGATGCCTCTCTGGGGCCTCTCCCTCCAAGTTTCTTCATCATAGGTCCGTAGAAAACCTTCTTCTCATTGTGGGAAGTGCCCCATTGAAGATAACCGTCAGAGAATTATCAATCGTGCCAGAACGCCGTTCCTGGGACTTCAACGCTGCGAGTCAACGTGATGATTGCGTCCTGGCAATCTCAAGTCGTGTCAGCGCACCATTTCTGGAACTCCACACCCCGAATCAACGTGACTGTTACGTCCTGACAATCCTGAGTTGTACCACAACGCCATTCCTGGGACGTCTACGAGCCCTGGAAGGTGTTGCGAAATTGTAGGACGAGTGTGCGCGGTGCTCAGGCGAGAGCCACAGTTTGAAAAGGAACCGCCCTCCATCCTTGAAATTGTTAGAGAACCTTGGAATAACTCGCGCGACGCTAAGACGATAGCCATATTTTGAAAGCGACCGGCTCTCCATCTGCAAGTGTTTAAAGTTCTAACGATGATTGTGAGCAGCGCTAAGGCGCGAGAGTTACATGTTGAAAGTCAGGTGCTGTTTATCATTGAAGTTGTTCCAAATTTTTAAGACGGGTGTGCGCGGCATATGCGCGGCGTTGAGGCGATAGCCACAGCTTGAAAAGAAACCGCCCTCCATCCTCAAAGTTGTTGCACATTTCAAGTTTCAGGATAATGACTGGTGAGAGGAATCCACGGGCGAAGCGCCCAGCCCAGCCTACCGACACATCTGGGGGTTGCGACAGGAGGATGCGCATGT